CCCCCCCCACCTCCTCCGTTAGCACTGCCATGAACTTAAATTTTTATATGGTGAACACCACACAGACCGCCCCTAACCCATTTTACTCTCACCTCTATACTTCTTGAACCTCCAGTATCTCCTCCCCGGCTGTGAATGGCTGTGCGGGTGCGTGCGGGTTCTGTCTGAAACCGTGAAATTTAAACCCGCCCCGCCCACATAGGATTTAAACTCGCATTCTCCTGCCCCGCACTCCACCCGCGTTCACCCGCCTCGCCTCGCATCCGTATTTTTTTTTTTAATTTATAACAGTGGCACAGTAGTCATTCAGACGATTCTAAATTACAAATTACCTATTTATTCTTTGAAAAAAACAAAGAAGAAACATTTGAACGGTTAAATAGAATTTATGAATTTTGAGTCTAATTAATTTGTTGTCGAAATTAACAACTTTAACGTTGGTATATAAAGAGGCCAATAAATTCACCTTCAATGCAATTTAAGGTAGATAAACTTCTTTAATTTTAATTTGATTTAAACCTAATCCTAATCTCAACTTGAGGATTGAGCAATGAAGACAATCCTCAGAAAAGGCAAGCTGATTTTGACTGGTGAAATGAAGCATTTGTTCGTCTTCTTATTATATTTTCTTTAGCGAAAATCTTCACTATGTTATTTTGTGTCTAATAAAAGATACCAAATAAATTTTTCATTTTCATTTGTTAGGTAATTCAAACTTCTCAAAATACTGATCTAAGTTATACGTACTTTGTTACTAAACATACACTCAAATCGCCAAAAATATTGGATACAACTATAAATATAAATAAATATAAAATTTAATGCCCTACAACTCCTCTCTAATAATTAATGGAGTAGAAAGTATTTCTTCCGTATTTTTCTCGCTTTTATTTCTATTTATTTTACTTTTTTTTTTATGTAATTAGTATTTCATATTTCATATCTCTTATATATTGTTGTTATTTTTATTACGCATTTTTATGGTACTAATATATCATCTCCTATTGCTTTTTTGAGCCGAGGGTCTCCTGGAAACAGCCTCTCTACCCTTCGGGGTAGGGGTAAGGTCTGCGTACATATTATCCTCCCCAGACCCCACTTGTGAGATTACACTGGGTCGTTGTTGTTGTTTGTTACTTTGTTTTATATTTTGTTATAGCTAAACATGGAGTATCAGTTACTTACTGAACCAGAACCCATCCTTAATCAAATAATTAAATCTAACGTTTAAAATCGAATTTAAGTTTATTCCCGTTTTCAAATATTTTCGAAAAAGGAAGTCGTTTGCTGGCATTTGTATCAGTTACCAAAATCTTAGAGATGAGAGATGAGCCGTTTTAAGTCTGAGTGAAATTGAGAGTATTTGGGATTAGGGTTTTAAATATTATTCAGCCTTTTAAAATTAAATCTCCACCCGCGACCCCGCCTCGTCCTGCATTTTTTTTAAATTTAAAAATTGAACCCGCCCCGCTAATATCCAAATCCACCCCGCCCCATTGTCATCCCTATCCCCGGCCACCCAATCAATATAAGTGAACATGTTCCCCACCTTTTTAGTTCATGAAATTGACACCAAAATTTAAAAAGAACATGTAGGTAACTATTGAGTAAAATGCACAACAGAATTAGTTTTAATCTATACTATATTAAAATCATGAAAACCCTTAACGAAATGTCGTTCGCCTTTTTTACTCTTAAAAAATAAAGTTTGCACTAGACAAAATAGTCATTTTATTATTATCCTAATATTTTAGACTTCTTGCTATTTCTTTTATGTTAAGAAATCCTTTTTTCTCCTTTGGTAGCATAATATTTTACTTAACCAAAAATAGAATTCTAAATAAATGTTGCCTTTATGAACAATTTCAATACAAATATAACTCATATCCATTCGACAAAAATTTAATGTATATTTCTTACTGCCTTATAGTCATAAAGGGATTCATAGAGTTATTATTGAGTCCAAATCAAAATCTAAGATGTAAACTATTACAAGTATTTTTTGTGCAAGTTAAAGTTGGCCTCCGACCAAATCGTCGCTACTTATGCGTTCTTGGTCGGGTTAATAAAGTTCGGATCTTTATTTTATTTATCTTTGTTTGTTTTATATTTTTCGTTCTCCTATGTTATGGTATAAAAGCTGATTTTTGTTTATGTGAAGCTCTTGTATATCTTTCATATAGAACTTTTGTGACTACCAAGTATTGATATGTGGAAACGCCTTGATTATGAAATCAATTTGTTGGTTGATTTTTTATTATTTACAATTTATTAAATTTATTAACGCTTATATGTTCTCCAGATTCTTCGGGGCACTAGAGGGAACATGGCATGAGTATCTTTTAGAGTGAAGATAGCATGAGTACCTTTTTTTCTTTTCTTTCTTGAATGAGTATGAATTATTCTGTGTATTCTTCTATTTTTTATTTTATAATGACTACGAAATTTTTTAATTCTATATATCTTGTTTAATTTATGTATCCTATAACTCAGACCAAAGGTCTGGCCAAAAGATAGGCTCAATTATTAATTTTCCTTCGTAAATTTGCTATATAGACTAAATTGATAAGAAAACAGTAAGTGATCACGAAATTTTTAATGGACTTGAAAATTCTCTAACAAAGAAGTGAAGTTCATATTGATTTATCCATGTTCATCGTGGTAACAGTTTTATTTGGAGCTTGATTATATTTTATTTTAGGCGAAATAGAATGAGTCATATTAAAATTTTTAGTTATGTTTTTCACACCTTGTTACCATTTTTTTAATCTTATATATAACTTATTTTCTTAGATATTTAAAAAAAAATAAACTTGATCTATCCCGCATGTATTTAATCATTAATTTTTAATAATCTGTTCGTTGTGTGCAACACATAGTATCAGAAGATTTTGTAGGTAGGTTGATTAGACTACGGATGCTTTGTGCATATGCAGTAAGAGACTACTGAAATTGAAGAGGACTATAAAACATGGTCAAAGTGTTTGTATTTGTTTGTTCATAGATTATGTGTTGTCGTTGAATGCCTTTATATTTTCCCTGCAAAAGATTCAACCCAAAAAGATCTTTTGAATCAGATTGTATGTAATTATATACTCATTGATTTCGTAATTTTAAAGGTATCGCTGAAGATTTTATCTTAATCTAGAAATCGAATTCTTATTCATGTTTGTTCATTATTGTGGATTGTTTTTTAATGATGAGAGAATAATTTTTTGCTTTTAGAAGATATCTACCCGTGGACCAAGTGTGGTACATTTTAAAAATAGATTTACAAACTTGTAATTTCACTTTTTTAATTTAGAATTTTAAAAGCAATTAAAATTTTGCTTATTACATCTTTCCTTATTCGAACTATGTAGAAATTCTAAAACTTAAAAAATTTAAAATCAATTATAGCTTACATAATTTTTTTCCTTATTTGAATTATTTTATATAAATATAATACATTTCATATTAATTTTCCTAAGGATTCATCTCCACATTGATTTCTTTCCAAGTTTTTGTTTCATGTTTGAAACAAATATGAGTGTAGTTATTACTTTTATTGCTCTTAGCAATTGATATAGAGACCATTATAATAAAAAAGAATGAATTCTTAAAGTGGGATGTCAATCACAAAAATATTTAAAAATATTGATTGACTCTTATTAGGTGCATGGTTTGCGAGTGGTTTAATTATTCTACCTAAATTTAACAACAAATTATAGACTACTTTGGTAAATAGAATAATTTTTAAATTTTCCTAACAATCTGAATTATCACTTCAAAATGATAATAAATAATTGTTCCTTTTGGTTTGATATTCTGTTGGTTGAATCACGACAATACTCTGATCATTAAGTCCATATCAATTTATGAAATAACTACTATATAATTTATAACAAGACACTTTTTTGGGGATAAATCTTCTCTTCTTGATGAATACTAAAAAAACAATATAACAATTTGGTATCATACTATTTAACAGTTTCTCAAAAGAATTGATAATAAAGCGATATTATATGTTATTTCTTCTTATCATTGAAATCTGAATTACTTTTTGTACTTGTATACAATATTTTATTAATAGACGCGGAACACACGTGCAACGCACGTACACTAAAGTTAATCATCATCATATCATATTATATTATAAGTGGGAGCATTTTAAGTTAAACTTAATTTACAAAATTACCCATAAAAACTTG